ATGTAGACTGTGCGTGTGTCTTGCGTTTTGCGAACTGCGGCCTATGTAGACCGGGCTTTAGAACAGAGTTTGCGCATACGTTTCTCGTTAGAAAATCGGGCCCCATTCAGAAACGTCACCCGGGTACACTACATGGGTATACTCCTTTCTCCTTCTAACTCGCTGAGCTCCTTCTAACACTCGGATTGGTGGAAAAGACATTAACATGTTTACCCAAATTTGGCTGAATTGATTAGAACAAGATGTAATATAGTGGCAATGTCCGTGCCATGTGAAAGACTTTTTTCTAAGACAGGAAACCTAATAAGCGACAGAAGGACACGACTGACATCGAAGAAAGTAGAAATGATTATGTTTTTAAATGCAAATTCAAATTTTGAATTCTAAAATTTTGGTTAATTTTTTTTATTCTATTCTCCATTATTCTCTAATAACTTTGGTTAATTTTTTATATTCCGTCAACGTAATAAAACAATCAAATACGTTAACTTTTTATATTTTGTCAGCGTAATAAAACTAATCTGTGAACTTATTTTTTCCATTCTGTCTAATCTTTGGTTAATTTTTTATATTCTGTCAATGTAATAAACTAGTCTTATAAGTCTATTTAATTATGATATTTATTTATTTCATTTTTCAAAATTATCCATATTTTCAGGTTTAGATACTTCAGTTATAATTATTTTAAGTAAACTAAAAATTTTATTAAAACTATTTTACATTCGAACCGTGTGCAACCTTCTAATTATTCGTGCGTCATAATTGTATTTTTTCTGTTTTAACCTGTTTTGTTTAACAGTTTTTAAAAACAGTTGTCATTTTTCAACAAACAGTTCGTTGGTGTTTTGTAAAAACAACAGAAACGCCCACCACTAGAACACTAGCGCTTTCTTCTTTTAACATGAATAACTAAATATCTATATTTCGGCTAATTACCGAGTTTATAAATATTTAATTAAAATTATCTGGGTACGTGACTCACAAACCTTTTTAATCACACTTCGTAACTCTTCATACAAAATACAAACGATTCCGTATAAAAACTTTTATTAATTTATCTATTTCGGCTAAATGCATGGTGTAAAAATAATTAATTAATTATAATTAAACGAATGACTCACAAACCTTTTCAATTGCACTTCAAAAGTCTTCATACGAAATACAAACGGTTTCATATGGTAGATTTTTTCCCGGACATTCATTTCCGGTCAAATACATACGAATGATTCTTTCTCGGACATTCAATTCCGGTCAAATACGTACGAATGAACGACGCGACGCGTGACACGCTTATTGGAAACTCAATCTTAATCCATGCGATGCGCATCGTGTGCAACGAACTTTAACTCAATACACATGCGAACTAGCTGCTAGCACGAAAAATTGCATCGTGTGCTATTGACGTTAGATTAGAGGTTAGAGTTGGTTGGAATTGGTTAAGTCTGTTTTAAACTGATAATCTTGCAGATTTTGGAATTATTTATAGTTTATTCATTTAAAAAGAAGCAGTATCATACAATGAAGAGAGTTATTGTTTTTGTTAATGGAACTGATGTTAATGGCAAGGTAGTGCTATGTTTCGCTCATATTAAATTTTGTATTTGTACCTATAATATTTTTAAGGTTACTTTATTATTCGTAAATTGGTTCTTTTATATACAAATGTAAATTAGGAACTATGGGCAATTATATTTTTATTAAAAACACTGGGCGAGAGCAAAATTATAATATCAATTGCATATTTAAAGAAGTCTATTGCAATAATAAATTACAATTTGCAGTATTCCGTTTTTAATAAAAAAATGGAGAGATACAACTTGCTATGTGTACCAATGTTAAGCAGTGAAATATAGTTATGTTTCAAAAAGTAGAAAGCGTTAAATTAGCTAAAAGTTACAACTGAATAATAGTATAAGAAAATAAGTGTATAATACAAAATAAAACGTATGATTTTGATCAAGTGAAAGAATCAATGCATTCCTGACTGTTCTATGAACCAAAAGCATTTATTTCTTGGTGCATAAAGAAATTAATACAACACTGTAAATACTGTTGACAAACAGGAAAATTATGTTGAAAAGAAATGTAATTGTTTTATTGCGAGCATCGGTACTTTTTGAATAAAAACATGATTACCCTTATGAAATGTTTTTTTGTTTAACCTTGTAATATTTACCAATGTATTAAATTAAACTGATATACTATTCTTGACGGTTAAACTTGTAAAATTTAAAAGTAATATATTTAATGGGCCAAAATATATTTAATTTTAATAATTTATATTTTACAATATGTACTTGGTTTACTATAGGTATTTATAGTGACTCATTCGTTGGACGAATTATTGACGGCAGCTAGTACAAAATTTGGAATAACTGCCAAGAGAATTTTTACGTCACAAGGTGGTGAAATTGATGATATTAAGCTCGTTAGGTAAAATGCTTACTTATTTATTTTTACAAATATTTTGTTTATATATATTTATATATGTTAAAAATTTTTGTGTATATTATTTTATTAAAATATTAAACAATCTTTCCCCCCCTCACAGAGACGACGATATTTTGTATGTTTCAAAAGGAGAAAACTTTATACATACAAATAAGATTTCTCATAATCAACCAAGCAGGAATTCAGAATGGATTACATTAAATGTTGGAGGAAAATATTTTACTACAACTGGAGATACTTTAACAAAGAAAGAACCTACGAGTATGTTGGCAAGGTATATTATCTTTTTCAAATCAATCAACTTTCATTATGATAAATTTATACAGATTTGTACTTGTTTCCTTAATACATTTAAATCATTTCTTAGTATAATTAAAACTAATCTTCTCATAGTTATATTTTCTTATGAGTTACAGTTTGAGAATATAGAATTGAGCAATTAGCAGTGGTTGATTTAATACTAAAATCAAATTTTAAATTATAATTAAATATAATTGAAATAAAATCCGCAGTCTAAAATATTTTTAATAAAGATGATTTATTAAAGCTATACTTAAAACTTGTACTGGATCGTCGGAATAGATGTTAAATAAAATACGAGAAAAAGAGATAAAATTTGTAGAGCGAGTTTTATTTGTATTAGAATAATGTAATAATAATATGACATTTTATATAGAATGTTTACAGAAACTGAAAATATTGAGCATGCGATACAGCCAAGTAGACGAGATCATCGCGGAGCATATTTGATTGACAGAAGTCCTACTTATTTCGAACCATTGTTAAATTACTTGAGGCATGGTCAAATGATACTTGATTCCAATGTTAATGTAGCTGGTATATATTCGCAAATCATGTTTATGACAGAGAGTATAATTATTTATTGTAATAAGACCAATATTTTAATACAGGAGTTTTGGCAGAAGCTTGTTTTTATGGTATTGAAGGCGCTATTCGAATCCTTACTACAATGTTGGAAAAAGAAGAATTGCACAAGGAGGGTCTTGTATCTTTAACTCGCAAAGATGTACTTAAGGCAATTATGTCTACGTCAACTAACGCAGAACTTAGGTTCCAGGGAGTTGATTTTGTAAGAGCCGATCTTTCGAAACTAGATCTTAGGAATATTAATTTCAAGGTACATTTACTTTGCACACAATCCATAGGATAAAATGAAGCCAACGGAGCATAATGCGATTTTTCGCGCTAGATCATATGCGATCTAGTAAAATATTAAATGTGTATATATGCATAAATTTCTATAGATTGCGCTCTCCCATTGAAAGTGTGACAATAGCATTATTGAAAAGAGACAATTAATAAGTCAGATATTTAAAAATTTACGTACTCTGGAAAATCGCATTATGTTTTATTGATTTTAATTGATACGATGGAAATGATGTTAACGAAAAGTCATAGCTGTATTTACACATTTTTTATTATAGTACGCCATTATGCATCACTGTAGTCTGGCAGGTGCTAATCTGTCGGGATGCTGTTTCGAACGCGCTGATTTATCCCATGCCAATTTGCAAGGCGCACAACTTGTATGTGTTAAAATGTTATGTGCAAATCTAGCTGCAGCCAACCTGCATTCGTGTAATTTTGAAGATCCTGGTGGTCTGCCGGCAAACATGGAAGGTGTAAATTTGAAAGGTGCTAATCTTGAAGGCAGTAACATGGCAGCCGTCAACCTCCGAGTGGCCACATTAAAGAATGCTATTCTTAGGAATTGCATTTTGAGATCAGCTGTTTTAGCTGGAGCTGATTTAGAGGTACCAATCTCGTTTTTATGTATATTGTCTTTAGGGCGCGGATAGACGAGCGACTTTGTCGCGCGACAGAATCGCCCGTTTGTCCGCGCCGTTCGAACAGGGGCTCTCTCCCCCCCCTCTCCCCCACCAAACAGAATATAACTACTACGTAATATACAGGAGTAACACGAAAATATAACGGATGTTATACCTAATTAAGGTGGTTCTTGCAGTACTTGCTAGTCAAATAGGCAACTATTTTTATTAGTGATAAATAAGTATGATTTTTGTCCGTAAAAATCAGCATATAATTAGATTTATTATTTATAACATCTTTAATGTTATATGACCTCTACGTAATTAAAATATTGAGACAAATGTCACATCTTTTACTAGAATTGTGAGCCGTGTGAATATATGTACAACAGCAGCGCGGCAACGAATAAATGATGCATGTTAAAATTATTTGGACATTTTATAACTTCATTGTATTGAAACTTGTATTTATTCAGTATTGTAGATCTTGATGCAACCTAATTTTAATTCTTTTCAGAAATGGACAAATATTTTTATTTCACCCTTTGCTTTATTCGGCGTCCAGAACATGGTAAACAAATTTTTTGAGATATGCGCTGTACTCATCCTGACACATGCGACGTTGCCAAGCTGCCGCTAATGCCGCTCGAATCCAGCCGTCAGTTCCGTATTGTCGATTTAGTCAATCAAAAATTACGTTTTATTAATATATGGTACGGTCAATGAACTCGGGCTTTTATCTAGTATCTTGCAAAATGTTTATTGCATCGTTTCGTCAGTTTTTGGTTCGTTTATCTAGTTTTGAAGTATTGCAATTTTTGCAGCATAAGCGCTTTAACCTCGTTTTTCGGATAAGGGGTCCCTCCACCGCGTTAAATTGGCAAAGTTTACGGACATATATCTTTGGAACCAATCGGTTAAAAAATCCGAAATTTTACAGACACACTCGAGGAACGTTAATCTTTCATTTCATATTAAATTTTACGGGCTAAGTACATATGACCTAAATGCAAGAACCACCTTAATGTCGATGTTATATAACCCTGTTTATTAATATATTATACAGGGTGAGTTTTATTTTGTGTACGAATTATCTCCGTCAATTATCTTAAAAAGTATTGGTTTATCGGATAAAAGTTGCGAGGATTCAGAGGAGTCCGATAAACGATCTTATTAGATTTTGGGTTATTCGTGTTGGGCTATATATGTCAGTATTTGCTGGAATCTGTTAATAGCGTTTCTTAACATTTCCATTTTTTACTATTATATCTATATGCACTTACATATCCATGCTTGTATCATTTTTTCAGTGCTGTGATTTATCTGGCTCCGATCTGCAAGATGCAAATTTGCGCGGCGCAAATTTGAAGGATGCTACCTTTGAACTAATGTTAACACCATTGCATATGTCTCAAACAATCCGATAACAATGAATGTCACGCTGCACATATTACTGCAGCTTAATTTCTGTAATAAACGTTTCTACAGTTTTATATAATTTATAATAATTTGAATGTAAATAATTGAATGTTGAGCTACATACTACTATTTTTGTGTTTTATTAAATACAAGAAGTATTACATTCTCAAATGTTTGAACAGTGATATTATTAAAATACAAACATAGCATTTATTTAAATATATGTGTGTACATGCAAGCGTGCGTGTGTGTGCGCGCTTGCGCGCGTGTATGAGATAAGTTTTTCGTTATTATTTTACTTTTAATATTATATATTACAGAAATTGCAGAAATTGATGTACAAATCTGATCTAAAGAATAGTAATATTTTCAACTTGTGTTAATTTTATACATTTATTCGTTTATGTTAATTCTTTTATACATTAATTTCTTTTTTTTATAACATGTTTAATTTTTTTGTTTTTTTTTATCGTTGCTCAAATAAATTACTCATAATTAAATGTTTTATTATAAAGTTTCGTTACATCTTATTACAAGTAACATATATATCTAATTGATATTATTGATATTTTGAACGTTAAATATTCTAAAGTTTGAAGAAATATGCTATTTATACAATGTTTTAAACAGTTATATGTTATAATTAAAAACTAAGCGAGAAATCTAAATATATATTTGACGGTAAAAGTGATTAATAGATATAGAAACTGTCATATATGTAATATTGTTGGGTCGTTAATTAAATCAATGGAATTTTTCTGAGAAAAATATATAAGATTAATATGTCAAAAGATTATGCAAAATATTATATATATATATATATATATATATATATATATATATATATGTATATATATGTATATTAAGACATGCTACTGTAGATAATTCTATACAATACGTACATAACGAGTGAAACACAAATATAACTCTACATATTGTATCAGCGACAGAAGCTTAAATTTATTTGACGAGTTTACTTATTTTAAATATTTATTGCAAGTTTAGTTGGAATTTAGTTTTTGATTACATATCGTATTATATATCAATGAATAGTTTAGTACATGTTGTAAATAATAGTGTGTATAATGTATATTAGAACTATTTATTAAAAATTGTGATATTTCTATCTATAACATTTATCGTAGTACAAATAAGGCACACATAAAATATGTCGAATATGCATTTATATTTATAATTGCATTAAATTTTATTAGAATAAATTTATGTACATATTTAATTTTCTAATTCAGCTATGTAAAACTGTCTTGTACGCTGACGTAATACTTGAAATAAAAATTTGTTTATTTGCAAAACTTGAGATAACATCACGATGTACGCGACTATGAATATAACTTATTTCCTTAAAATTATTTCTTAAAATTACAAGAGGAGTAAGAAAAGACGTTAGAGATATTTGTATTCAAAATTTATTCTCTAAAACGTTACATTTTTTGTTATGTATTTTTTGCTAACAAATAATATCATGCAGCCCCACGCATGCAGGCATGCGCACACACAATGCAATATGTAATACATTTTCTATTTATTATTTATATTAAGTCTGACGCATGATTTTTTAATAGAATAATATTTAGATTTTGCAATCAATATTATTTAATAAT